CTTTTTTGTCCTTGTTTTTCTTTTTATCTCACTCCGATCCTTTGAGCTCTTGTAGTAGCCTGACATCCGATTTGATTTAATAATGGACTCTAAAATTGACCACGGTTATTCCGGTGATTTAATGTATAATAGCAACTTGTATGCTCCCCTAAATAAAAAAAAATGGTATATTGATATACGTATTATGTATCAGTATATAAATGTGATATAGGGGCCAACATATTTCACTTTTATTTCTCATTTTGTATATGTCAAATAATCAAACATGTATATCTTCAATAACATGCGGAAAAATATAAATACCTTTTGTGCGACTGTGCTGTATGTAAATAACCATAATAGAGACATTTAGCTAACACCCTTTACGAAATAACGTAAGGTTATCCGTAGTGAAACACATGCTAAACAAATTGTAAATAAGGAAACGAAGGGAAAAGATAGAAAGAAGTGAATAACACGATAATCCAGAATACCTTTTTCCTGTATTACTTCTTCGGGGCATGAAGGGGCAATGCAGCGAGAAAGGTCTTCGGGAAATGCGTGTTTCTTCATACTGCACCCTCGAAGGCGAGTATTATATGTGCGAGTAATTCCCCGAATAGAAGTGAAATGACTACTTCGATATCACTTCTTTGTTCCACTCACGCAATTCTTATGAATATGTCGTAGGACCAATTATACATCATGCAAAATGGAATTGATCAGACTCATTCATACCCATTCACGAGCTTCCGTCTGTCTGTTTATCTATCTTCTGTTCTCTCTCTCTCTCTCTCTCTCTCTCTCTCTCTCTCTCTCTCTCGATATATATATATATATATATATATATATATATATATATATATATATATATCTGAGAGAGAGAGAGATAACAACAAAGCGATAAAATGGAAATGAGAAGAGGATATGCAACGTATGTAGGAAGGGGGGGTGAGAGGGGGGGGGGTAAGGGCTATGCAACCAATGACTACTTCGATATCACTTCTTTGTTCCACTCACGCAATTCTTATGAATATGTCGTAGGACCAATTATACATCATGCAAAATGGAATTGATCAGACTCATTCATACCTATTCAGCACTTTTGATATTCTATACTCGTAATAGCGAAGTTTACCCGATGTACGTCCATGAACCATTCCGTTTTCTATTTGGGATGTTCTCATTTTCTGTCATGTATGGAGTGACTGCTGTAGTTTTGTCTTTTGTAAATATATTTTATATTCTGTGAACCTTGAACTTTATTCCCTTTTTTTAAAGATTGATTATCATGTATTGTTATTACGTGTATTTATTTTAGATGTTATGTATTAGTAAATATGAATGTATGTGTAAGTAATTATAAAAGCAATATTAATGTTTTACTTAGTAAATTATACCATTGAATGATATTACGGTTTATACTTGCAACTATTTATCTGAGACACACCACACATATACAGAGAAGAGAGAGAGAGAGAGAGAGAGAGAGAGAGAGAGAGAGAGAGAGAGAGAGAGAGAGAGAGAGAGAGAGAGAGAGAGAGAACTTGTACTGACTTAAGGGCCAAGCAAACATTAAGTATACATGCCTGAAGGGCTGCACCTTAGTGTTCGCCTTATTTGTTATCTATCTAATAACTAAGAAAAAAAAAACATACATGATTTTACAAAAAATAAGTGTTTCATTAATTCTTAATATTCCATTGTGGTACAGTTAAAGTCACTATGTGATATCAGTTATCAGTTATCAGCTGATTTTCAAGTTCTATAGGTTGTAGAAGGGTAAACCGTCGTACAAAGAGCATTGTAGTTGTTGAGCTAATTGTTGCTACATCATGAGCATCATTTGTTCGACTTTCTGCATCAACATTTGTAATAGGTCCTGTCTTTCCTGAGCTGTAGGAGTCGGCGCCGGCGCTGAAGCAGGTGCAGAAGCCCGAACTGCTGAAGGTGCTGAGACATGTAGTGTAGATGTCGAAAGCGATGTCAATGTCGAAGCAGGTCCTGAAGTCGATGTCGAAGTAGCAGGAGCTGAAGCTGGCACTGAAGGGGCTGAAGCAGACCTTGAGGCTGGCGCTGGAGCAGGAGCTGATGCCGATAGTAAGGCTGGAGAGGCCGACTGCTTACCTTCAGCATACCTCGCCACATTTATCCTCCCAAGCTGGGGGAATTCTGCTTCGTCGTTAAGGCGAGGAATTGATATGGGATTGCGAGAGGGCAGAGCAGCAATTTGTTTTTTCTGTCGTTCGGATAGTATGCACATAATGGAGAGTTTGCATTATGTTCAAGTTTGCAATTGGCACATTTCCTTGGGAGTTGATTACCTTGTGATTACCCCGTGCCCCCATCTGGAGCAGTTGGCGCAAAATGGGGTGAGTGATTTGAAGACAGTGCACCTGAAAGGTGCCATGCCCTCCTCAATTTTAATGGTTTTGGGGGATTTTCTCCCTTTCATAAGCGATGATGAGCCGCTGTGTCATCCTGCCATTAAATTGAATGCGTTTAGCGTGTAGAATCTTTT